CGGTGGAGCCGCCCGCCCGGGTCCACCCGGTGCGCGCCGCGAGTCGTGGGCAGCCCGGTTCCGCGACCCAACCACGAAGTGAGAAAGTTGGAGCGGACGCGCGGCCCGCAGCATCGGCCCGGATGAGGCGGTGCCGGCGAGGCCTTCGGGCTGACGCCGAGCACAGCGGGCAGCTCGCGGCGGCCAAGTTTGGGGCGAACCCGCTTTGTCTGGGCCGGGCCTGGCTTCCTCCCCGGAGCCTGACAGCCGCATGCGGCGATCGCTGCTGCGAAGCGGTTGGTCTTGGGATGGGAGGCGAGGACTTCCTCCGAGGCTGGGGTCCTTGGGGGCAGCTCCTGGGAGCGAGCGGGGCACCCGGGCTAACTGGGGTGTCTTCTGAAGTACACACCCTCCCCATGGAACTGCCTTACAAATTGGATTTTGAAAACTTTTCTCTAGAAGTATTTCATTTTTATTAATATTTCCAGTAAGAACAAATCAGGGGCCTCATTTAAATATGCTTTAGGAAGCAAATACAGACAAGTTCATTACCACACGCCTTTTGATGATTGTTTCTGCGGAGAATTCTTCAAATTTAAGTACTGAAAATATAATTAAATTGCAAATCATAATTTCGAACATTTTTCCAATTATACTTGTTTTTCTAGACCTAAGTAAGCTGGGATCATTGTCCTATCTTTTTTGCCCTTTTCTGCGTGACCCACACCACCCCATCCCTTAAGAGAACTGCCATGGTGGGTCCCTCCTATTTTCTTCCTATTCTGGGTGATTTTCACTAGACACGTGCACCTCTGGAAAAACACTCCCTGCCAGCCTGAGCCTCCAGAGAAGCTGCTGTTGGCTTCTGGTGTTTGTAAAAGGGGAAGTTATTTGTTTTGAAGCTAACTCTGAGCAGATTAAGTGCATGTTTTAAGAAGCCCACTTTAGGCACTTATAATAAGGTGCCCCTAAAGTAAGGGGCACCCTAGTGACTTCGCTTGTAGAAATACTAATTTTTGATAACGTTTTCTGTGTCATGGTGATAAAATTAAGAGACTAGGAAGCATCTAGTTGAGATTTTAGAAAACGCATTTGCTGTAGATAAGCCAATTTCAGTTAGTAATTAATTTTACTTACTGAGCAAAGTTATCAAGCAAGAAGAAACTGCTTCTAGGTGTTTGACTCTGTATAGGAATTCATACTTTCTGTAATCCTTAAACAGATTATGTTTGTTTTCACAGTTTGCATTTTCTCAGGAAAACATCCAGCAGAGGTTAAGAGGTATTCTGTGACTTTAAAGGTTCCAAAGGCTCAGGATGTTTTAGGTGGAGGACACAGCCTCCTAAATTGAAAACAAAATAGACGTTGTACAGTCTTCTTGACAGGTGATTACAGTGACCTCAGGCACTCTGAACTGTGTTGCCCCCCCACCCTTCCATGCTGTTTGTTCTGGTTAATTCCTGAGTACAGTGGTTGGTGCTTTTGGGTGTGAAGACTCACTTCTTTAAGGCAGGGCTTCGGACCCTTGGAAGAATCCCTTCAAACCAGTTCTTTCTGGGTTTGAACCCCTGCTGAGAATTTGCATTTCCACCCTAGATATACAGAATCAGAATCTACATTTTAACAAGATCCTCAGGTGATTCTTATGTATAACTTCCTGGGAACTTGTTAGAAATGCAAACTCTCAGCAGAGGTTCAAAGTCCTGCTTTAAAATAGCTGTCTGCAGGTGAGGAGCTTGAGAGTAACCTGAGCTGTGCAAAGAATGCACCTCCCACCTTGGAGAAGTGTTCTAAGTGAATTATTAGGGTGGTGTTGTTAGGTGCCCTCGAGTCGGCTTTGACTCATAGTCTATAGGACAGGGTAGAACTGCCCCATAGGATTTCCACGGAGCGGCTGGTGGATTTGAACTCTGCCGTTGTTTTGGTTAGCAGCCGAGCTCTTTATTGCTACACCACCAGGGCTCCAGTTATTAGTGTAGTTGATTGAATTCCGTGTCCTTGCAAAGAAGTCCATATGCAGTATTCATTCAGTAAAGGAAACGTACCCGTGTATTTTTCAGATCTCTGTCCAGCCTGTGATTTGGAGCTTGAATGGAGCTGGGAAGCAGAGCTACCGAAGCAGGAGGTCCAGTAAGTGGTCCTGGTCCGGGCAGTCCTTCTCTGCGTTTGGCTTTTGTGTGGCGTCTTTGCCTGCTGTCGGACGGAGTCTTTGGTTTCCGAACTTCTGGTCTGACTGCTGCTCAGCGTGATGATGGCCTTGGGAGTGGAGGGAGGCAGGTTGGATGGCTGCTGGGCACAACACGGTGCGGGGAGGGCACTCGTCGGGGAACCTGGGGGGCAGACCCACGGAGCGCCCTCCCTACCAGTCTTGTTTCCTCTGTCGCCCCTGCGGAGTTCCGTCCAGAAGGGCAGGGCCTGCCATTCTTCTGATTGCAATGTGATTTTCAAGTCGTTATTTACATCTCAGGGTTGGAGGACGAAAGCTCTGGAATCGATGTTCTTATCTACATTTTCTGTTGTAATGTAGCTGCCTTCAAAAGTCAGGGTGCCTTTAGCCCTTCTCAGTCTCTTCCCCTCCATGTCGGTGCGGCCGACTTCCCGGCTCCCAGCACTGACTGTCACTCGGCCTTCTCCGTCCCCCATCTTTCTGCCCTTCTCCTACCTCACCCCGCTTTTCGTTACTAGGTTTTTGTTCATTCGAATCACTTGTTAGTATCTTACTTGTGATAGCTCACTTCTTTGGTAGTTACCTGATATGTGCTTCTGGTAGTTGAAGTTCTGGAGGGCATGACTAGGGGTAGAATAAAATCTTCCTTCTCGTGAGGAAGGGAGGGGGCTCCCCTCAGCGCAAGGCACGCTCGCCTCTGCCCCACCATCTGGCCCATTCTACCTGCCGGGCCATGGCGGTTTGTGCGAGAAGGCCCTGCTCTTGGAGAGTGGAGATAGATGTACCAGAGTTAGGGCCCCCTGGGTGCTCTGATGGAAGGAGAGCCGTGGGGGCCGAGAGGACACGCAGGGAAGTGTCTCAGGGAGGCCTCTCAGAGGAACGGTCATCTGAGCCTGGCCCTGAAAGGTTGGGGGTAGCAGCCAGGCCAGGGGCCCGAGGTAAGAAGTATCAGAGTGTGGTGAGAAGGCCACCAGGAGTGGGTTTGCACGGTGCCAGCTCCGAGGGGCACAGCAGCTCCTCTCGTCTCACCCTGAACCCTGCCAAGGGCTCCACTGCAGTCTGTCCTGGGTATTGTGTAGGGGTTCAGTGGGCAGATAGCTAGCTTACCCGCGTGTGAGGAGATGCCCACCCGGCGCCTGGCCCAGGTGCGCAGGTACCTGCTTCCCAGCCCCCTTCGGCAGCTGTGGCTGCTCTCCCTGCAAAGTGTGCGCAAGCAATGCTGATACAGGCTGGGAGGCACCGCGGCCGTTCCAGCCGCGATTGCCTCCCACCGGCCCATGGGGGCCGTACGCGTGGTAGCTGGAGCCACCGCCTTTGCCTGCCCTCCAGCCTGCTCCGTTGGCGCTGCCACCACAGACACAGTGGCAGCCGGCTGAAGGCTGACCCAGTGGTCCGCTCTGCGTGCTTGCTGCCGAGAGCACAGTGTGGGGAGTAGTGTGTTCTCCACAGCGCTCCAGTTATTGGCTCAGATGGGGCATGCTCCGCCTTCTCCTGGTACAAGGGCACCTTGCAGACTCTTCTGCAGCCTGAGCTGTGATTCCAGTGCTGTCACTGGTGGGCTGCCTTGTCACCCGGGGGGAAGTGAGTAGCAAGCTTGCTGCATGGGCACAGGGGCCGCAGAGGAGCACAGAGCAGGCCAGATACCCTGGCATGTGACCCAGAGCATTTCAGAGACAGAGGGACCGGGTGACCCCAGTGTGGGCTGTTTGCTTGCCCTGCGGCTGGCTTTGTTTCCAGGCAGCCTTAAGAGCATGTTCTGGTATGTTTTACCTGCTGGGGCCCTGGCCGCCTTGGGGTTTCTGACCACATCTCATGGAAGCAGCCTCTGGTTCCAGGGTTCTGAATTTGAACCCCCAGCAGCTGTCTTTGGCTGTTAACTCTGGGCTCCGCATCTCAGTTTGGCCCTTGTTATGTTCGGGTTTTCTGGCTAGAATTTCTGGCTTTAAGACAGTTGAAAAAACGTGGCCTACCCTACAATGTGTTAGTTGTGATTACGAGCCCTCAGGATAGGTTAACGGCTCGGAAGATGTGGACTACATCTCGGAGTACAGCTCGAGGGAAGGCCCCACCTCCTGGGCTCGCGAGGCCGGGAGCGCGGCTTCACGCTCTGACCCGCAGTGGAAGCCCACAGCCGTGGGGAGTGCGCGTGCTCTGAACCAAAACCAGCCGAGCTTCGATTCTGTTAACTTTACATTATGGAGTTTCTGACTTACAGAGAGGAGAGTGGAAAGAGCCGTCCGTGGGGCACCTCTCTGCTCTCCACCGATGTCAGGCGTGATGCTCGTTGAGGCCACGCCGGCCGTCCTCTGGTTTTTGCTGCCCTTCCCACAGTAAACTGCAGACTCAGCACGCTTCACCTCGAAGTGGCCTGTCGTTGCTGGGAGCTGTTGGGTCGATCCCAACTCACAGCGACCCTGTAAGACCGAGTAGAATTGCCCCATAGGGTTTCCAAGGCCGTCTTTACGGAAGCAGACTGTGACATCTTTCCCTGCGGGGCAACTGGTGGATTCAAATCACCGACCTTTCGGCTAGCAGCCGAGCGCTTAACCACTCCGCCACCAGGGCTCCTTAAGTGGCCTTTCCCTTAAACAAAGGGACAAGGATATTCTGTATCAGCACATCCCACTGTCGGTGACATCCGAGAGAAGTAACAGCCACCTCGCAGTCAGTCCTCAGCCATTCCCCAGCTGTCCCCGAACATCTTCAGTGGTTCTTTGCTCCTAACCAGAATCTCGGCTGGGGTCACTGATTGTCTGCCTCTTCCGTCTCTCTGTTCCGGAACAGTAGCCTTACCCCCTCCCTTCGGTTTCTTCCACGATGCTGACCTTGTGACCAGACGGCCAGTCATCTTGAGTGCACTCCATGTGTCCTGAGACCAGCCAGGGAGAGGCACGGCTGGACGCGCAAGTGTGGGTGATGCTGTGTACTTGAGGTGCCCGATGTGACTGCTGTTCACGTTGACCCCTTGGCTTTATGAACTGTGCCCTCCCTGCCTTGCAATTAGCAGCTAATCTGGGAGGAGGAGCTGTTTGGGGACCTCGTGGAAGACTTGCTGCCCATCAGCCTTCAAGGAACCCTGGTGGCGCAGTGATTAAGTGCTCGGCTGCTAACCAAAAGGTCAGCGGTTCAAACCCACCAGCTGCTCTGTGGAATAAAGATGTGGCAGTCTGCTTCCATAAAGATTACAGCCTTGGAAACCCTATGGGGGCAGTTCTACTCTGTCCGATAGGGTCACTGTGAGTCGGAATCGACTTGAAGGCAACGGGTTTGGTTTTTGGTTTTATCAGCCTTCACCTGGAGTGTTCCATGATGCCTCCCAGGACCAGCTGGGGGGTGGTGTCCTACTTCTGATGTTATAATCTGTTCTGTATTCTTTAATCTGTTTCCTTCATTTAGTGTCTCCTAAAAAGACAAGACAAACGCTTAACTCTTTCTCATTTTACCAGTTTTCAGAGGAGGGCACTGGTGTAATAGTCCCCTGCAATGTGGCAAATGTTCTTATTTTTCTGTTTTCTTTGAATATCAGCGTGGACTAATAGATTTTTATTTGCTCACTCCATTTCAGTCTTTTAAAGTCTCTTTGTTGTTTTTGCTCAGATAGTTACCCATGAGCTCCTTGGAAGCCTGTCGTAGCTGTCCAGTGCTCCGATGATTTGGCCCACCATGACCGGGAGCCCTGCTTTCTTCACAGGGTCCCCAGCCCACCTTTTGCTTTCTCCTCCCGACCTGCCACAGCCCTCTCTCCGGAGTGCTTTGTCCTTTTAGGTGGAAAAGTATTTCCAAGCCTCGATCTGGGCACGGGATCTGGGCACTGGGTGTACCTGCTGTGTTTGTGTAGTACTGCGTATAGCCCTTTTGGTGGAGAGAGCTAGAGATATGTTTTTAAAACCCCTGAGTTCATACTGATATTTTTAATACAAATTTAAAATTAAATGGTGTCACTTATGAAACCAGAAAAACAAGCTCACTGCTGTCGAGTCAATTCCGACTCATAGTGACACTGTAAGGTTTCTAAGGCCGTAAATCTTTACAGACGCAGACTGCCACTCTTTCTCCTGCGGAGCAATTGGTGAGTTTGAACTGCCGACCTTTCGTTTTTGCCAAGCGCTTTAACCACTGCACCACCAGGTGTCACTTATCGTCCAATAATTACTTGTTTTATGCAAAAGTATACATAAGCTAGGTTGTAAAAATCAGGGCTTGGAACCAGTTCCTGTCGGAACCCCTGCTGAGAATTTGCATTTCTAACAAGTTCACTGGCTGAGAATGTGCCTTTCCACCCCAAGTACACTGAATCAGAATCTACGTCTTTAACAAGATCCCCAAGATCCCCAGGTGATTCGTAATGTGTACTTTCCCGGGAACTTGTTAGAAACAAAAATTCTCAGCAGGGATTCGAACCAGACCGAAGCGGTTCAAAGCCCCGGTAAAATTACGGTATTACATTACTACTAGTGATGAAACACTGAGCAGAGTTTAAGGTGCTTCATTAGTTTAAAGTGCTTTTTGTCCTTACACTAGATCCCTCTGAGGACCACCAGTCAGAGTATCCTGTTTGGAAAATCTTTTCAAAAATGCCCTTTTCTTTGTCTTACCCGCTTGATCCACAGCGAGGTTTATTTGCTTCAGCTTGTTTTCAGATTTGGAATTTTCTCCTTTTTTAATGTGTAAAATAATTACACAGTTCAGGAGTCAAAACTCTACCAAGGCAAACTTAGACGTCACACTCCCGCCCTGTCTCTCCGCTCTGCCCTCGCCCTTCACGCCAGCCGCTCTGATGTCCGCTTTGTCCTCTGGAAGCTGACAGACACGCAGACACGCACAGGTCTGTTGTTCTCCTTGTTTTTCGTCCTGTCTCGCACCAAAAGGTAAAAGCAAGTACCGTTTACACTGTGTCTGTCTTGCTTTTCTGTTCAGCGTACCCTGGCAGTCACTGCAGCGCACAATCGGCCTTTCTCCTGCT